TCCCCCCTTATCCAGTCTGTCCAAACAAACGTACCCTAAGGGTATTATGGTCATTTTGTAGTTTGCATTCGAATATAATATATGTGGGGGGCTAGATTATGCAACCCTAATCTCTATTCTCTCTATCACTTCTCTCTTTCTCATTCCAACCCTAATTTGTCACATACTCTATTCTTTAACTGTATACTCCCGCATCTGCATCTGCATGTGCAAATGTGTTAATGTTCTATCATTTATTTAATTAAAACAAGGACCAGAAATCAAACCTACATATTTAATATCAATACATTTTATAAATATATTAGAAGCGCAATGGTAAGGCTGCTTGTTAATGTTCCTAGTGGTGCAGATTCAAGTCACAAAATCAGCCTCTTCATGAATTGAGTTAAGGCTGCATTCATCTTGCCCACCTCGCACTTTAACAGGAGCCTCATGCACTCAATCACCTTTTTCTTTTACCATTTCATGAATATATTGCAGCTATAAGATGTCTTCATAATACAGTACACTTGGTTGATAAAAATAGGTACAAGCTTGGATTGGTTCTAGTGGTTGTCAGATATTATCGCACGTTAGTAATCAAGGCCCTAATCTAAACAACCTCTCTCATCTTCACTTAGAAAAAGTTAATGATGTGAGATAGAGAAATAACAAAAAGAAAAGGGGTATAATTGAATAGTAGCCCAAAACGACCAAAATGAAAAGGGAAAAAAACTTTTGGCAAATGCAATTATGCATTGCCAATTGTATTTGGACCCAAAATGTGAAAGCAAAATGAGCCTAAGCATAGAACATTGCAACCAAGAAACTAAATTTGTTAAGAATATCATAAAAACCACATGCATGTAAATATTATGCTCCTAAATCAGATGCAAGATTTTTAACTTAAATAACCGAGGTCCTAATGAAACAGTTGTTTAAGGAGCTCATTACCTTCCAAACACCTCCCCACCAAAACCTACAAAAATCAGAGAACATGTCACAAAAAACATCAACCAGATTAAACTACAGTATATGCAATGCAAAAATTATAGTAATGTAACAATATCCACACCTTCCCCCAAGGCTACAATTTAATGCCCTTAAAAGCCATGGTTTAGACCTCCGAGATTCCTCAGCCCAACATTGCTGGAACCTAAGGAGTCAACAAAAAATATGACACAAATCTTGCTATGAATGAATCCAAGTAAAAGACAAAATTAGATAAACAAGGACTCACTTGCTATTCAGTGTTTCAGTTCGGTCCCATGTGTCCAGTTTCCATATATCCTTCTCAGTCAGGGGCCTTTTAAAGCCTAGATGCATAAGTTGATTCATCCATGCAAAAGTAGTTTCTGCAAAAGAAACCATGAACCAGAATATCAATTTAAGTGAAGCAGTTCAAAGGGAAAAAGATAATTTTTTGTTTTATCAAGAAGATTACAAATAGTCTCACACTGTACATGTGGTGGTGTAGCAAACAAATACAAATGTGGCAAAGATTACTGGGAGGACACCATAAAGCACAAAAACAGTGTCTCAATTCAAGCAATTGACAACAGTAGGTAGGTGAACCAAAAAGGTTCGGAGATAACAGTGAAGAATATTGTGAACCAAGCTCAAAGCACTGTTAAAACCTACCATCACCTACTCCACCTACTACACCTACCACCACCTACTACCACCTACTACACACCTACCACTACCACCTACTACCACCTACTCCACTACATCTCCTATATAAGGAGCCCCTCACCATTTGTAATACACAATATACAACAATCAATAATACAATCATTTCTCTTTATACATTAAATTTCTACAGCGACGGGGGTTGCCGTCGCCAAAAAAAATTATTTTTTGTTAAAATAATTTTTCTTTTGTAGTCAATGAATTTTTTTTTAGTTATTAAGATTGAAAATTTATTTGTTTTATTTTTATTTTAATGAAAAAAAAATTATTATTATTTTTTATTTGGTAGAAGTAGAGGTAATATTTTGTGGTAGAGGAGAAGGAGCGGCAGTAGTGGTGAAGGTTGTGGATAAGAGATGATGGTGGTGGTGGTGATGGCAGCGAAGGAGATTAGTGGTGAAGTTGTGGTAGTGGTAGAGTAGACGGAGTGGCAGGGGTGAAGGAGAGGTAATGGCAGTAGTAGTGGCAATAGTGGTAGTGGTGATAGTGGAGTGGTGGCGATGGTAGTAGTAATGGTAGTCATAGAGGTGAAGTGGCGACTGTGGTAGTAGTAGTGGTAGTGAAATGACGATTGCAATAGTGGTGAAGGTGGTAGATGAGATGAGTGGTGAGAGAGAGAGAAAAGTGAGAGACAGATAGAGGAGAGAAAGAGAGAGAGAGAGAGAGAGAAACAGAGACAGAGTGGTGAGCGAGAGAGAGATAAAGTGGTTGCTAAAAGTGCGTTTTCTTGTAGTGGATCAATAAATCAAGAAGGAGCTCAGTAAATAGAGAAGACGGAAGGGAGAGAGTGAGCAACGCGAACACAGTGGGGGAGGGAGAGAGAGAGAGAAAAAGAGAAAAAGAGAAGAGAGAGAGAGAGACAAAAAGAGAAAGAGATAGAGACTGAAAGACAGAAAAAAAGACAGAAAGAGAAGAGAGATGAACGAGAAAGACAGAGAGAGAGATAGAGAGAAGAGAGATGAGCGAAAGAGACATATATAGAGAGAAAAGAGATGAACGAGAGAGACAGAGAGAAGATAGATGAGCGAGAGAGAGAGATAGAGAGAAGAGAGATAAGCGAAAGAGACAAAGAGAGAAGAGAGATGAGAGAAGAGATAGATGAGTGAGAGACACAGAGAGAGAGAGACAAATAGACAGACAGAGAGAGAAGAGTGATGAGTGAGAGAGAGAAAGAAAAGAGAGAGAGGAAGATGAAAAAATAGGTGAAAAGATATATATATATATATATATAGAGAGAGAAAGAGCGAAAATAGATAAATGAGAGAGAGACAGAAAGAGATGAGCGAGAGAGAAAAAAAGAAGAGAGAGAAAAGAGGCAGAGGGAGAAGATAGATAAAAGAGATAGAGTGAAGAGAGATGGACGAAAAAAAAGAGAGAGACAGACAAACAGAGAAGAGTGATGAGTGAGAGAGAGAAAGAGAAGAGAGACAAAGACAAAGACACAGAGAGAATGAGAGAGACGGACAGACAGAGAAGAGTGATGAGTGAGAGAGAGAGAGAGAGAGAAGAGAGACAGAGACACATAGAGAAAGGGAGAGACAGATAGAGGAGATGGAGTAGTAGTGGTGGAGGAGAGGTAATGGTAGTAGTAGTGGCAGTAGTAGTAGTGGTGGTAGTGGAGTGGTGGCGATGGTGGTAGTAATGGTAATTGTAGAGGTAGAGTGGCAACAGTGGTAGTAATGGTGGTAGTGGAATGACATTTGCAGTAGTGGTGAATGTGGTAGAGGAGATGGGTGGTGAGAGAGAGAGACGAGTGAGAGACAGATAGAGAAGAGAGATAGAGAGACAGAGAGACAGAGACAAAGTGATGAGCGAGAAAGAGACAAAGTGGCCGCTAAAAGTGCATTTTCTTGTAGTGGATTGATAAGGAAAATGCCTTAGACCCCCAGTGGGAGTGACCCCCACCACCTCCACTGTTTTCTGATTGGTTCAAAATTTTTTATTTTTTATTTTTTTTTTCACTCTTGCTCTCACAGCCCCCCACGTGGAGGTGGGGGTGCTGGGGGTCACCTCCCACTAGGGGTCCCCAACATGGTTGGATCGATAAATCGAGAGGGAGATCGATAAATAGAGAAGAGATGATGGAGAGAGTGAGCAAGGCGAACACAGTGAGGGAGAGAGAGACAGAGACAGACAGACAGACAGGTAGACAAAGAAGAGAAGAGTGAAGAGTGAGAGAGACAGAGACAGAGAGAGGGAGACAAAAAAAAGAGAGAGAAACAAGAGATGAGCAAGAGATAAACAAAAAGAAAGAGGAAGAAAGCGAAAAGAGATTAACGAGAGAGAGACATAGAAAAAAAAAGAGGTAGAGAGAGAAGAGAGATGAACGAGAGAAAGAGAGAGATAGAGAGAGAGAGAAATAGCGAAAAGAGATAAACGAGAGAGAGATGAGCGAGAGATATAAAGAGAAGAGAGAGAGACAGAGAGAGAAGAGAGATGGGCCAGAGACACAGAGAGAAAGAGAGACAAACAGACAGAGAAGAGTGATGAGTGAGAGAGAGAAAGAGAAGAGAGACAGAGACAGAGACACAAAGAGAAAGAGATAGACAGACAGACAGACAGAGCAGAGTGATGCGTTAGAGAGAGAAAGAAAAGAGAGACAGAGACAGAGAGAAAGAGAGACAGACAGACAGACAGATAGAGAAGAGTGATAAGTGAGAGAGAGAAAGAGAAGAGAGACAGAGATAGAGACAGAGAGACATGAAGATGAAAAAATGGATGAAAAGAGAAATGTTATATCAAAAGAGTAAGACGACGCCGTTTTTTTCAATTTTTTTTAATGATAGAAAAATACCATTGCATTTATTTAAACTATTTTGCAACTGTATATATGAAGTTTTCTCAAAGCCATAATATATATATATATATATTACTTTTTTTTTTTGCAATAGTAGTTATTACAGTCGTGGTGCCGTCACAAAAACTCTATTTTTTTGCGACAGCAATCTTTGCCATCGTAAAAACTCTATTTTTTTTTTGCGATAGCAATCTCTACTGTCGCAAATACTCTATTTTTTTTACGGCAGCAATTTCTACTGTTGTAAATACTCTATTTTTTGCGACAGCAAGTTGTGCCGTCGCAAAAAGTCACATTTTTCGCGACGGCAAGCTGTACCGTCTCAAAAAGTCACATTTTTTTGCGACGGCAAGTTATGCCGTCTAAAAAAGGCACATTTTTCGCGACGGTAAGTTGTACTGTCTCAAAAAGTCACATTTTTTGCGACGGCAAGTTGTGCCGTCTCAAAAAGTCATATTTTTTGCGACGGCAAATTGTGCCGTCTCAAAAGGTCACATTTTTTGCAATGGCAAGTTGTGCCATCACAAAAAATGACTTTTTGCGACGGCAAATGTGCCGTCGCAAAAAGTTCTGTCTCATAAGCCCACTTTTCTTGTAGTGGTTATTTCTCAACTACTTAATAAAAGTAAGGCAATATAAACCTTTTCACTGGGTATTTATTAAGAACACCAATTTATTGTAAATTAAAAATTGGTAATCCAAAAACAGAACTTAATAGTACTTATCACCCAACTTTTAGAAATCAAAATTTTCAGTTTATTTAAATTATTTTTGCCTAGTGAGCTATAAAAACTATACCGAACAATCTAGAACAGACTCCCATAAATTATAATAAAAAAAAATCTATATGCAACTTAGATAAACTGCATCAAATATTTTATATTGATATTCTAAACTTGCTAAATAATTACTAAGAAGTGATTCGTATAATGTTGACATTTCCGTGTGATTTGTTTTGTACATCTATCTTGTATCTCGTACTCTATACTGATGTATGATGTGGATTTCAATATTATTTAATGAAGATGAATGCTAAAAAATTCAAGAAAATTATTAATTTTTTTTATCAAACACTCATATATGTGAAAGAAATAAATAAGTAAAAATGTCATACAAATATAGTTAATCCTACTTTGTAGATGTGGAAGGCAGTAAATTATTAAGGGGGCAATTTTTACACCTAGAATTGATGATATATAGGAATTTTTTTTTAAAAGTTTGTTTATAAACAAAAAATAGTTTATAAAAAAGTTAATACTAAAAAAATTAATTTATTTCATGTATTTCTAATTTTATGACTTTTCTAACAACTTTTTAACATAAACAAGCGTGGGGAAGTATTTTTTGTGAAAAACAGCACGTGGCTAAGGTGATGCCGAAGTGTCAGCCGAGGTGCCATGTGGCCAAGTTATGCTGCCGAGATGATCTCGAATAGTCCGAGGTTATCTGCGGAGATACCAGAATCCGAGATAAGCAGATAAGTGACAAGAGTCTTAGAACATGGGAGGATCTCAATCTGGATAGAGATAAGTCTCAAGAAGAGTTTATGTTTATCTAGATGATGGTCCAAGATGAGCATAGAGCCTGAGTCCATTGAAGTGAGGCTTCTAAAGAGATCAGGACACTGATCATTATAAAAGTGAGGCACCCTCGTGTGTCTAAGTTATGTTTTTATTTGTAAAGTTTTTTCTTGTAAGTTTAAGCACAATTTACTATGTTTGAGAGATATTGATTACTGACTTGAAGTGAGGCTTCTAAAGAGATCAGGACACTGATCATTATAAAAGTGAGGCACCCTTGTGTGTCTAAGGTATATTTTTATTTGTGAAGTTCTTTCTTGTAAGTTTAAGCACAATTTGCTATGTTTG